TTAGATGGAGAGAACAAGGAAACTCAATTTTAAAATGATAGAAGGAGACATCCAAGATCAAACAAAGTTGCAAGTTGCCAGGCACAAGGTAGGAGGTACGTGGGCAGAGAAGACGCTACAGGTGTACGGAAGTGCGGTGACAAAGTATAAGGAATACATAGAAAGTCGGGGAAGAACATGGGAATCAGCAATCCCTTTAGTGGATCAAGATGTTTATGGGTTCCTGGTCTGGGAAAGTGCTTTGAACTCGAAGAAGGAAACCTCAGCTACGCGGGTGGTGAAAGCAAAAACTTTGGAGAAGTATCTGGCGGGCCTACAAGCGTGGCAGATGGCGGCTGAGCTTAAACCACCAAATTTAGATAAAAAGATGATCAAAGGAATTCTGAAAGCATCAGAGAGACCAGAGGAGAAGTTGATGCTGCAAGACAAAGAAGCCAAGGTCGTTAAGATAGAGAAAATGCCAGTGACAATCAAGCAAGTCTTGCACATCATTTAAATCATTCATTGATGTGCCTCACCATTTACTAGGAAAGGATGGGTATCCATCCAGTAAAGATTGCCTGGATCTGGCTTGTCAAAAGTATATTAGGAAGCAACCAGAGGTGCGGGCTACAAAAATTGGTTTGAGCAAACCATCCAATGTAGGGAGTTCAATGTATGTCATTCTTGGTCAAATTCAAAGCATATATACTCAAGAGGGAAACTGCTTCAATTTGATATGAATAGCTCTTCTGAATTGCAGCCTTCACCATGCTTGATGTAAGTCATATCATGGCAAAATACCCAAACTGAATCAATTACTGACCGCAGATTAATTGAATCTGAACAGGCCCAGGGTTTTTTCCTCTGCACACAACCCAGAATGTACAGAACAACTAGTTGGGAATGATCCGCAATCTGAAGTGCAAAACCAAGAAAACTAACCGGGGATTCCTGCCTCAACCTCAATGTGAGTCAGATTGCCTACATAACCATTATACAAAGGGATTAAAGATCCTACCACTACAGCACACAGTCTCCAATGCCACTTCCATTGTTATACAAGATGGAGGAAGGAAAACAGTCCCAATCGGTGTGGGTAGCTGTCCCAGGCAAAAAAAAATCCTCTGGAAAAACGTAAGCCAATCATTACTGCAGGCCATCAAAGGAGAGGCAAAAAGAAGACTGACAAGTTTCTGGTATTGGGTGGAATCCTGCAGATGCTGCCAGAACCATTGAAGCTTGGTGTGCACAAGTTTCTTCCGCTTGTGAAAGGGCAAAACCTGGTAAGCCCTTCTATCAAGAATAACCAAGGTATAACAATCCAGTCCTAGCAACTAATGACTATGACTGTACAATGGAGATTGTGTCAAACCTTTACCATGTAATTGACCATGGGCACGGTCAGTTAGTTGATATGGGAACAAAAAAATATATATGTACTTATCACAGTGTCATTTTCCTAGGCACTGGCAGGCCAGTGAGTTCCATTCACCTCAAAACAATTTCAAAACAATTTCAAAAAAAATTCAAAACAATTTCAAAACAATACCAAAACAATATCAGATTGACTTCCATTTCACTTTGAGTGGGGAATATGCATGGGCTGCATATACTGGCAGATCCACATGAGCTTAGTTCAGTAGTAGATCTGAATATGAAAATTGATCTTCCAGAATCTTCCAGGGGCTTCTTTGGAGTGCTAAGTATGGTTGAATGCATTCTGAAAATTTCCTATGCAAGAAAGTATATACTCATGTGGTATTCTTTCATGGTCTCCATCCAAAAAACATGGACTCCTGTTGACAATTTGAATGACAAGCCATGTGGCAGCAGGGAAGCTCTACATATCCAAGGAGGCCTGTTTTTTACCAAGTGTGATGAACAGAGTTGTGAAAACCAAAAGTCAAGGGCTCAAGAAATACGTGTGTTGCCTATCCTCTCAATGGTAACATGTCAGATACTTGACACTTTTTTGGACACATCTCATCGAAGTATTTTGAATTGAGAATGAAATTGATGACCAGCTCCAGCTACATTCATACAAACCTTTGGGGTGACAACAGAATAAAAATGCAGGGGTAGAATGACAGGTGTACAAGAAAGACTTTGACATTGAGACCACATTACAAATGTCTCTACTTATTGTTATTTTATATCTATTGCATCATCTTCCAGATTGAGTTCTTGCACAAAGCCCTGGAGAGTTCAAAAATGGATCAGGAAACATCCACCTGATGACTATCATGGGAACTCACCAGATTATTCAGCTGAACTATTGAAGGGGTTGGGCAAGCAATATCAAATGTAACTGCTGTGGTATGTTGTACAACAAACTGGCCAATTGCCTTGTGACATGGAACAACATGATAATCCCCATACAAATCATATATAACTGATGCATTCAGCAATCCAGGCAAGGAAGCAAACAGGTCCTTGTGCTTGTCTTCAGCATTGAGGGAATGCAGAGATCTCACCACCAGAACCGGCTGGGTGACATCTGGGAGCTTGACAATGTCTGTGATAGTACCAACCCTTGGAGATGAGTCCAACAAGTATGATATGTAGCTGTTCCCAGGATTTTTACTGTCTGTGCTGTGTGGCTTGGCACAAATGTCAAGGCTTGTAGTAATATCAAATGTGGATGCAGAAGTTTTGTCTGGCCCAAGAATTCCAAGTTTTTGAAGCGCATCAAATTCTTGAGGACTTAATTTTTTGGTGGTCCACTTGGTTTGGCAATTCTGTTGTAGGTATTCTTTGATGATAGTGTCAGCCTCAATGGCCGGATGGCTGTTGTGGATCATTGCTTGAAATAAGCCGCACATTGAATGCTGTTCAAGCAAAGTCTCCCCCACTTGTTCTAATCAAAAAGGTTGTGGGTTGGTTGCTCCTTCTAACTTGTGAAAATGAGGAATAAACACACTTTGGTTTCCGTTCTTTGAGGTCTGCACAAGGGCTCCAATGATATGCTCACCTGACCAGCTATGTAGGCTGGAAGCCCAAGGAGTGTGGAGATGTGTCCAATATGTTCCACAAAATGTAAGTTGGCCTTTTTCTTCTTATGCGGCCATCCATTGCCTAGGGTAGGTTGATGTTCCTCAACCAAGGCTGTAATCATTGCCCCATCAACATGCTGAAATGAACGCTGTGTACAAAGGTTGCCAATTTGGACAAGCTGAAGAAGGCCAGCTAGAATTCTAGCTGATGTTGATGCTGGGTCTCCACCTTTGAAATGCGGTATCCAAGCTAGTACAATGAAGACTTTGTATAATGAATGCCATTCAGCTTTAGGAGTGCCTGCACTAGCCATCCCAAAGTTTTTTTGGGGTCAAGTGAGCCACAAAGGGGCTTTGGCATGCTTGATACAATGTTGAAGCAAATCAAGCTCATAAGAAGTAATTCCGAGAATGATGGCAGGAGGAGGCGGTGTGGGTGATCAAGAGTGGTTTGGTCCATTGTCATTTTTCTGTCTTCCTCTGATTGTATGGTCAGATCCAGCTGAAGAGGCCATTTCACGATGGAGATTAGAGGATACGGCGGACCAAGTATCAAAGAATGGCAAGAGGGAGGTTGCGGAGGAGGCATATCACTTGTGGAAGGTGCACCATCAGTTCCAGGTGGATTAGGGGATGCTGGTCAAGGTATTTGCACATTGTACTGCCGGTTATTGAATTCCATTTTTTCTTGTTCAGCTTTGAGAGCCTTGCCAGCTGCAGGTACTTGAATATATTGTGTTGAAAAGTCTTTGTATAGACCAAGGACAATGTTGTGCATGATGTCAACAGAAAAGAATTCAACAGCTTGCCAGTATGGCAGCTCATGGAGGATGCTATATTGTACTCCTGTTGTCTTGGCCAGTTTAGCTTGCTCACTTGCAGTGGCAGATTGTTCCCATTCCACAGCTTGTAGCTTGACACCCTCAGAGGTTCAGAGTTCAACCTTTGGTGCTGGGGATTGAGAGTGGAAGAGACGTCAATCTATGTGACAGAGAGAGCAAATACATGTAGACAAGTGTGCACTTCCCCCGGCGACCTTCTTCATAGCTGGGACATCCCCGTGAATGGGCCATAGTGCAGCCCTCATGGTGCGCCCTTTAGGATGCTCTGATGTTGATGTGAAGGTAATTCTGTCCCAGAACTCTGAAATTTCAGTCACTAGCGGTTTGAGAAAGTGATTCATTTCAGATAGCAATGGTTCAGATGGACCCGGAATAATACCATAGATGCAGATGTTCTCTTTTTTGTATTGTATTGTTGGAGGTAGGTTTAAACAGGTAAGGAGCATGACACCAACTGATGTCTTGTTTGCTGCATTATTTCCACCAGGATTAAACCAATCACACCATAATCCAAATACTAGGTTACCAGATCTTGAGGTAAAGATGTACCTATCTTTCTTGAAGGTTTTCCATAAAGTACCATCCCATATATCATGCATTCTATTGTAGGCAGGTTGCTGACGATTAAGGTAGGCATTGATTGCTTCTTCAAAGTAATGGTGCTGGAGCATCTTTCCAAGCCACAAACGTAAGGACTGATAAAAGAAGAGCCTGATGGGTTTCTGAACTGTCCTTGATGATTTCACATAGAGAGGAGATTCACATGGTTCTCGGCCAAGAGTAGCTGAGCGTTTTGTAGTAAATTGTGGGACATTGCAGAGTGGAACAGGCAATGCATTGAGTGGTAAAGGTGCTTGAATGGAAGACAAAGCACAGCAGAAGGGACAACGGGTTTGTGATTGTATGGATGTCTCAAGTTTCAGAGTTTTGAAAAGTGTCGGAAGGCCTAGGGGTATCTGGGTCTAAACTGTGCTTTTGGTGGCCGGATCTTGGGTGAGCTTGTGTTCTTTTACAGTCTCTCTAGCTTTGGCAAGACTTTTGCGACATGCTTGGACCCCAACGTTATGAAAGAGATGTTCCTTGGCCACTTGCAACATCTCCCGCATGCAGAGTGGATCCTGCAAGAATCAATGTGGGGTGGAAATAGCATTTTCAGTGTGACCATGCTCTACTCTTGGGGCTTTCAGGTCCCGAGGTACCAAAATAATTCCTTCGTCTTGATCATCTCTAGGTCGTTTGTTGGTCCTGATGGCATTGCAGCTCCAATTGGCGGGAAAGTGGGCTGTGGGGGTGCATGACTGGTGGAAGCAACTGGGTGATTGGGAGTGGAGGCCTGCAAATTGTAATGGTTACGTCAGAAGGGTTTCAAGGTCAGAGATAGGATAGTTGAGCTATCATACCATCAAAGTGTAGGGCTGGCCAAAAGTAGGTGGTTGGTTTGGTGGAGAAGGTTGGTTGCTGGGGGTTGGAAGTGGTGTGGTGGCTTCCAATAGTCTGTTGATTGCGGCTAGGTGACTTGGATAACTTGTGCGACTGAACAATTGGCCTTGATGGACTTGCCCCATGTACTCAATCATCTTTTGTGAACAACCCAGCTGAGGACATGAACACAGGATGTGTTGAGCTCCTAGGGCAGTAGCATGGGATCCCAGGGTAAGGGGCATAGTGTAGTAGCTAATTGAGTGATGTTAGTAAAAGGAGTGTAGAAGTGGGGGAGGGATCAGAGCCGAGAAGAGGTCAAGTGATCACATGTTACATGTCTTCACACATGTAACTCATGTAGTGTATGTAGTAACAGGGTTAGGTTTCAACAATACTGAGACTTTTGCATCAGTGGGAATATCAGTGCCCTGTTGGGTGATTGAGTGAATCCTTATGCTGTGGTTCATTGAACAAAAATTGCACCTCCTGGTAAATCATGAATTGCAAATTCACTGAGCAACTGTTGGTTATAATTTCAAGGTACATCCTTATTTGTTGTGGTTAGGGTAACAAACAAAACTGAGTTGGCTTACAAGCTACAAGGGTTTGACATTAGCTACAAGTTGGTTTGTAGATGATGTAGACAATTGAAGAAATAATCAAGAATAAAATGAGGGGAAACTATTCAAGACTTTGTTGAGGGATTGTTGTTTGGTTGCCTGTGGAAACTGGATGAAATGGCTGGTCATACAGATTATCAGGGTAGGGAGCGCCAGTCAATTGGGGTCTCACGTCACAGAATGCAGCCAGGTCTCTTTGGATGGCTTGAGCAAGGTGAATCTTTGAGCACTCCTTGGGATGCCAATCAGCTTGACTGGATGGCTCATCCAGTGAGTTGGTGGCTAGATCAAATACTTCTGGGAATAAGGCCACTTGGATGAGACCAAGGAGAAATGCCTGGGTGTGTTTCCAAAAAGGTTCTTCAATAGGACAGACCTTGTGAAGACTGCTCACTAGCACAAAAACCGTTTGGGATCGTGCAGGAAAACTAAGAGGCCTTTGAAACCTGAAGTTAGAAATGCAACCAGGAGTCCAAATGAAACAGGCGGTATCTGGCCAACACCAACCAACTTGGTGAGGTTATTGTAATCCCTGTTGAGTTGTTTGTGGAGCTGTTGGGGGGCTTTGAGTAAGTGCTCAACGTGCCGGAATTAAGCCGGGAGGCTTGCAAGAGCCTCAAACATGGAATAAATCTTATTGACTAGGTCTCACATGGCCATCACACATTCTCAGGCAATGGTGCTACTTGTGCAGAGCTGAGGTTGATGATAACGATGCACAGCTTTGTGTCCATTCTCAATTTTGATGTTGGGACATTCAGTGAGAGTCACAGGGGTTGGTGGTTGTATATCCACATTCTCCATCTTGCAGTACACGACTGCGGCCAGGACGTACCGGACACCTTGGTCAATTTTTGGTGTCGTGCTGTGGGAGAAAATGCCTAGAATCTCATGCACGTACTGTGTGTGAGCGTCCTTGTTGGATGGGCCTTGTTTGATAAGCTCTGCATTGTCAAGTTGGAATACATTCGGTCAATGCCATGGCGCTTCAGAAGAACATTGAAAAAGGGAACGATCTAGAGTGATAACAATATCAGTGTTGTTGACGTGTGCACCCAAACTAAAATTGCTTACTTGGTGGCTTATCTAGCCAAGTATGGACTCGCAGCTTGCTCTTTGGAAGGATTCTGAAAGGCAGGCTGGGGGTTGGTTCAACTTCCAACACAGCGTGATCGGTGCGGTGGCTTTGCAGCCACAGGAGGTTGAGCATAGCGCAATAAATGTCCGGAACATTGTTGTTGTTGATTGTCTTTCTAGCGACGGTCTGTTTGGTGAACACAAAAGCCAAGGGATCACTGACAGCCCATATGGTAGACTTGGGTGGTATGGTCCAAACGTCTGAGTTGATGGGAATTGGAACTCCTCCTTGAGGAATACCACTGGGAGGATTTATTGGTAAAGGAGGGGGGTTCTTGGGCAAAGGAGGTGGAGATACTGAGGGGCATGACAGAAGCAATTCCTGCTGGTCGGATGGGTTGGGCTCAGCAACGAGGGAATAGGGGTCCGTTGGGTGTTTGTGAGCTGACTCGGGTCGCTGAGGATCCTGCTGTGCCTGATTGACAGCTGGGGGTTGGGGATTGGGCGCAGAGACGGCAACCATGGCCTGCATCACAGATGCAACCTCGACCTCAACTGTCTTTGTCCTGGTGCCCGCGGCCATTCCAGAATGCGCATGTGCAGCACCGCCAGATAGGATAGGCTTTGAAACAGGAAAAGTAGCCGCCTCAGTGCAAGTTACCTGCGCAGGGATTGGGGCTGGCGGTGTGGTAGTGATTTCCTGTGTGGATCGGGATGGTTGGGGTAAAGCCTGGGGCTGGGTAGTAGCCAGAGGAGGGGGCAATACTTGATGAAGGAGATGATGGTAGGAAACTTGGCCTGAAGTATAAGGTCCCCGCTGGGGAGCGACCAGAAGCTGGTAGTGTGGGAGGTCCTGCCCCATTGGCGGAACAGGCCTTCAAAGCCACAGGGTCTGCGTCGAGATTGGGTGAGGATGACATCTTTCCCAAGGTGTGCATCCATTGCCTCAATAAATAAACTCCAAATTCCATCTTCATTTTCACCTGGTGAAGGGAGCCAAAGAGGGTGATTGAAAAATGTAGCAAACTCATTGGTTGCAACACCAAGTGGAATGTGAGTTGGAAGTTGTAGAAGATTCTTGATCAAATCAACTCCAGTGGCAAGTTCAGCAGGTAAGTTCTATGTTTCCTTTGTCAAAGCTGTTCCAGAACTTTTGTCATCCGGCTGTGGCGCAGGCGGGATATCACTGCACTGATCAATATGTGAGGTGCCGCTAGGGATCGTAGCGGCTGGTGGGTTGCTGAAAGATGGGAAGCGTGGTTGAGGGGGATTGGGAGTTGCGGAGGTAGTTGCTTGGTGTTCCGGAAAGGGAGAGCAATGGTGTTCCGGTATGCCTTTGGGCAGATGTGTCTGACCAAAAAGCCTCTCACCTTGCTTCAGCGTGGTGAGCATTGGTTTGAGGCAATCATGTAGGTCCCTAGTGTCGTTGGCCGCCCATCCTGGCTTGTCTCTCACTGCACAAAGCCATTTGAACATAAGGGAATAGGTGTCCAGTCCGCGTCAAAGGTTGCCTAATAACATGCTGTGATGCAGCGCCGTGTCCCATTGTGCCTTTACAAAATGGGAGTGAGGAAGGTGGATGTTGCAATCAGAGGGGAGTTTAAATGGGGTCAAAAAGAGAACATAAAACGGGTTGGAAGGGCTGGCGGCCATTGGGGGATACCACGATGGTTGCTGAGCGTAGTCAAGGATATCGTTGCTAATGCGCCTGAATCCGGCATTGGCACGATCCAAGTCAGGGTCTTTGAGCGGGGGTGATGGGATCTAGTGAGTCACCTTGGTTGTTGAAGGCGGGTTCATCGGCTTCTCCGTCAGTGCAATGAGGGTCCTCTTCGTCTGTGTCAGGCCGGAATAGGGGGGGCGGGGGAGGTTGTTGTTGAACATTGTCATCTTCCATTGGAACCCCAACCACTTGGACCAACAAATTTTGCTTGTTGCAATAGGTCCCTTGTTTGATGCCTTTGGAAATAGAGGGGGTCAGTAACCAGGTTTTTGGTGAACTTGTGAGAGGGGGTACTAATGCAGCCACTCACTTTCAATGACACCCTGATGCAATAGCCGGTATCACGGAGGGACTCAAAGATGTCATTTGGGACCTTCTGTTTGCCCAAAGAGGCACCCATCCAATCCCTTTGGGGAATGAGAGTTGCCAGGAGCGACTCGAGGTCGAGATGGAATGTGACCCAATTCAATACAGAGGCCTGTGTGCTGGAGAGGATGGCTTTTGCTAGCCCACACAACATCAGTGAGCTGCAATCATTTACTTCACGTCAGGGAATTCCCTTGAAGAAACTCATGCAGTTTGTCATCATTGCCCGGTGTGGCTAGGTCTCCGCCATCCTTGCCCTCACCACCAAATTTTCTTGGGCCCTCTTGCACCCCAGTTTGCTCGCCTTCCGAGCTTAAAGAACTCGATGACACATTGTTGTCATTGTCATTACTTGCCAGAGCCTGGGTAGCCAAGTGGTTTGAGGGAATTATCCTCTTGCCACCATGCTGCGGCCAGAGGTCTGTAACACCTAGCATTGAAAGGAGACCTGCAACATAGAAAAAAAAACTCATTGTCAACACCAAAATAAGAAATAAATGAATCACCACGTATGTACCAGTGCTGAAACCAATGAGCCAATATGGGGTATATATCGATCGACTCAGTATGAAATGCAAGCAACTAAAAAAAAATCAATATCAATGCCAAAATAAGGTATCAATTGAGTCAATCAAAGTGTACGTACCGTGAGTGGAATCAGTGAACCGGAAGGGGTGAGTTTGAAGGTGTATTTATAAATCAGGTTGTTATGCAATCTAGCTAAACTAAATTGATTGATTCAATTGAATGGATTGTGGGGTATGGACAGTAATGATTGAATGGAGGGGATTGTCTTTTTTGATATTGATACCAGGAGAAAAATCGTACTGTACTGTACGCTTATGGAATTGATCAACAAGGTGGTTACAAATGTGTTTGCTGGTTTGACACTGGACCTAAGGTAACACAAGCTCCGGCCCTGCTGGCGGGCCTGCACTTTACAAAAGTACCGCTGCAGCATGCAGCAATGCTGTACGGAGGGGGTCGCCAAGTCGCAACATGGCCGCCCCCGTGGCTTCCCCGTAAACCAATGGACGGGGCCGCCAAGTTGCGACTTGGTGACCTCCTCCATACAGTATTGTTTCCTGTATGCAGCCAAGGGGTTGCCAAGTTGTGACTTGGCGGCCCCAGTCTTGTACTCCTCCCGGGTATTCTGCTACAACTCGCTAGACAAGGGTTAGCGCCTGTCCAAATCCCCCCGGGCTCAACCCATCTGACACGGGGCCGCCAATTCGCAACTTGGCAAGCCCCTCATACATGCAGCCAAGGGGTTGCCAAATCGTGACTAGGCGGACCCCGTCTTTTACTCCTCCCGGGTATTCTGCAACAACCCGCTAGACGGGGCTGCCAAGTTGCGGCTTGGCAACCCCTTGGGTGCATACATGCAGCTAAGCTGTATGAGGGGGTTGCCAAGTCGCGACTTGGTGGCCCCATCTTACAACAGATCCTGGGGCATTATCTACCAGGTGTAACACCCTGTCTACCCTGGTCTGGCTGTCACAGCTAGTTGTGATACATTGTATTCCCCTTTCAAAATGGCAATACAAAGTACAAACCATTGGAACCATCCCACCTGCCTTACACAACAAACTCACCACTATAATGTGGCATCAAGAAGAATCTTGATGCCACATTGGCTTCAGATTCAGAGGAACCCTCCTCAAGGACCCACTACATTTATATGCCCATTATACGTGAAACCACTGAGTGACTACATGCCCCTGCAGCAATTGTGACCAGCAGAAGAAGATCTTTTCATGACATGACAAATATCTTCTTATTGCCATATACACCCCACCCCAGTCATATGTTGATGACTTGACCAATGAAATCATCATGACTTGCCCAAAATCACCCCCATTTAAACTCATTTCAGTGTGTCTATATCATTCAGCCACTATTCGGAATTTGTTATCTGTCAGCGTGAAAACTTTCTACAATCTCACTTCAACCCAAACCTCTGAATCCCCCTCTGTCATCACATACAAACCTGCTTTATTTCACATTCCACATTCAGAAGTCTCCTCAATCAAAGATCTCCAGCACATCAACAATGAATTTGGGGGAAGCAGAAGAACTTCAAAGAACTATTGAAAGGAACCAAATTCTTTATGCATATGCACAAAAAATTAGATTGGTCCAAGATATGTGGGAGTGCAGAATTCAGCTTATCCAGCTTCAAGACAAGGCTGATGGACAACCTCAACCCATCAGTGTTCTTATGTTGATTGATATGACCTTTCAATTCAAGGATGTTGTAAAGGAAGCTAGAGAATTTCTTTTTACTTATTGATGCTTATTTGGGGTTTCAGTCAATTTATTCCAAAGAATTTCAATGTAGGTTTTCTTTTGTCTCATGATATCAAGGACTGTTACTAAATATACCAAATGAATGCTGCCTTCTTTTTGTTTACAGCAACTTCAATGGCAATATCAATTCTGATGTAGTGGCATATTCAGTGTGATCAAATTCTTTACGAGATGGAAACGGTTTGTAAAGATTTAGTTCAATATACATCATATGCTTGTTTGCTGCCTTGCTGCCTTGCAATTTTGGCATCATCAATTCTTTTGAACCAGAAAATCTGCAAGGATAAAAGCAATCAATTCCAACATGGATAATATTGGAGATGAGATCAACCATCAAAGAAATTATTAGTTTCATCCATTTGGATCTCAAAACAAATTTTGTTTCCTTCAATCCTTTTTTACATGCCCACTCTGAAACCACATACTGATTATAATGGTGCAATTATCCTTGTTGTCACAAATCCAATTTCACTTCATACTCAAGTTTTGAGTGGTATTTATTGACTTACTTCCAGGAATAAGATATTACACATGCCAGCCTTCCAAGCTCTATAGAATGCCCTCAGTGCCTGCCATGCCTACCATGAGCAACACACTGACCTCCTCCAGTCTTTGGCCACTATTCATTATTCGGCCAATTAGAAATAAGACCCACTTGAATTTGAAAACAATCTGCAAACAAATTTCCAGACAAAAGGATCAGTTTTAAGCCTGAACAAAACCAATTCCTCTGCTCCAAATTCTTGCCTCCTGCTACCCAACAGCAATCAACTGAACCATTGAATTCAAACTTCCTCACATCCATATTATCCATATCCTCAACTCCAATTGGGTACAAAACTTCATATCTTCATATTGGACATTTCAGCTTGATTATAACCTTTATATCTACGTATTTTCAAAACCACCTTCTCAAAACATAGATTCCACTAATGGAAGGGAACACAGGTATTTTCATGCGACTTAACCCTGTCCATCAACATTGTGCATCGAATAATATTCCCGATCCCATATCTATCACATTCAGGAGATACTAGCAACACGTCTGGCTCTGGATCTGGAGGTGCAGCTGCAGCCCCAGAAAATGATCCCATCATGGATCAAATAGATGGTGAGTGCAGGCATTTATTCAAGTGCTTTTGTCATTGAACTGACATCTCACATAACCCTTCCTACAGGTCATTCAGAGGAGGAACCTGGCCTTACTTTTGAGCAATGTGTTGCTCTTTGCATTGCGAAGGAGCGGGAGGCCCAGAAGAGACAGCAACAGCCAAAACTTGAGGCAGACAAACAGTGTGCTAGGAAAGAGCGGACAGTATCAAACTTGTAGGCCTTACCTCTGCTGTACAAGAGTGGGCTTGGGCCTTGATGGGTCTTCCTCAACAAGCCAGCCATTGCTCCTCTCCCAAGATCACTGCTGCTGCTCTACTTCAATGTCACCTGCCACCTGAACCAACTACTGAAGAAGTTGAACATTGGGTGCAATATGCTTCAAAACGGACTCAATATTTAGATGTCAATATTCAACAGAAGATGGAGGAGGCCTTTGCCAGGAACCCCTTGGCCAATGAATGTGTTAAGCATCAGATGCAAATCAAATTGTCAAAGGAAGCTGTTCTAATGATCATGAAGACCAATCCACCTCCCAAACTATTTTCTTGAGTAGCTCATGCCACTGTCTCTGTCACAACTTAGAATGCTACCCGCTTATCCAATGCTGAAGTCAAATTTTGCCAATGTGGCTTTTATTTGATCAATTCCCAATGGAACAGCTCAACTGCAACTCTTTGGAACATGGCTATGTTGGACACCTTAGTTACTGGCTGGTCAGATGTTTATAATGCTCGAGCTGTACCCACTGGATTTCCAATCGACACTAGTCTTAATGTTCCACTTGAACCAAGGGATATCCTTTCTTGCTGGATTACCAACAAGCACAGAGTGTTTTGAGATGAATAGAAGGAAAAGCAGTTGGTGTCTACACCATGATTGAGGGAGTGATAAACTTGTCAAGAAAAAGCTTACTGAGCGGGAGAAAGTAGCTTTGAAAGCCATCAGGAAAAAGGTAATATGCTCAACCAATCCACCTTTGCACAAGCACTCATATTGACCGGTGCATTTCGCAGCTTTGTGATAAACAGGCTGCAGCAGTTGAGCCCTACTTTTGCCACTTTGCCGGGCCAATCAAAGTCCTCCTCAACTCTAAAGAGGTTCATTCTGAGACCAAGATGGACGCCGTGAAGCCTGGCAAGTTTAGGAAGATCAAGCTCAACTGGCGGACACCCGAGCTTGATGAATTGATTCAACTCGCTGATAAAGCAGCTCCCAAAAGGGAGGGCACCAAAAAACAAAAAGACAAGTCATTAGAATTTTTCCAATCCAGAGGGGAATATTTGCCAAATATTCCTGATGCTGAAGATCAACTTCCTCCTAAGATGCTTCCCAAATGCCTCATCAAGCCTGAGATACTGACTGAAGGGATTGATGAGATCACAATAGATAGTTTAGAATTGTCAGACACCACAGTTGATCTCAAAACAGCAATTGATCTTTTGAAACAGAAGCTGGGAAAAGGCAATGCCATGACAATTTCATCTTCCTGATTGTTGTTTACTATCATGTCGTGTGCTCTTTGGTTAATTGTTTACTTCTTGAATTTGGAACAGTTTTTCTCTATGTTTTTCATCTCAGTTTCAATTTTCAAAAAGTTTTTCAACCTCATGTCAACACACATGTAAAGCACAAGAAGATACATGAATCAAACACATGTGACCAATGAGCCCCTTTACTACATGTGACAGTCCTGTTTCACCATTTGTGACAGCCATACGTGCAGTCTTAGCAATCAAGTAGATTACCTGAGTCAACTTTGCCCCTGTTCAGATAGCATGAACTCACATTTCACCCGCATTTTGCCAAACTGAGTATATCAACATCCTTCAGAATTCCAAGGTTCTCAATGATCCCATCAGAGTGTTGACTCATTCACTTCCACAATTGTGCTAACTGAAATAGAACCATGGATATGGTCTTTGCCTCCCTTTATTTCCTAATCCACTCAAATTAACAAGGTTCCATTCTACTCAGCATCCTCTTCACAATCCTCTGCCCCAGCCTGGCCTAATTGTGGCCCACCCAAAAGCCAAAAAGCCAAAAACCGTACCTTTGCCCGCATACTACCAAAATCAAATGGACCAACCTGCAAATCTATGGCTGAGTTCACACGATTCCTACTGGGCCACACCAAGGATCATCGACATTTGCCTGAACCCCCAACCAATATCCAACTAGCCTCACTCCCACCTCTAACAAAGGAAGACATCATCAACAACCACTCGGTCTCTGTCAACTACCGCTCTGAAACCCACCCTAATCCGTTGGACTGGAGTGTTTTAAAGGTCCTTCTGCACACTGATTTGGACAATAAAAATGTTGAAGGACCTTTTACGTTTGATCGGGAAGTTGTGGAAGGTGAAGACTCTGTATGGAATCAAGTCATGATTTTCTCCACGGTGAAGCATTGGATGTTTGCCAGAAGGGCATTTGCATTTTGAAAGTTTGGGCTGGATGTTGAATGGGAGAAGGAAGTCATTTATATTGGTATTGTTACCCAATGGGTCATTGGGCGGATTGAAGATTGGAAGAATGAGTTTGACACACCGGAGAAGATTGCACGGTGAGAGCGCAGTAGGAAGCAACAAGATGTGAGTATTAGAACCTTTTGACAACTTTTCCAGATTTGATAAAAGTACTGAGACAATTTACAGTTGTGGGAATATTGTCAAGCTACCATCAATGAATACCTCAGGCGCTTCATTGACCTGAGGATGATGTTCATGGTCAGCAACGCTCAATCTAACCAGAGTGGCACAGTGTCAAATATGGGGAGTGGCTTCATAAGATTGATCAGCTTTCATATAATCATCAAGCCAATGTGAAGTTGAGAACCCTTGCAGCTAGGAGGTTTGATACTCAACGCGAGGTGGGCAACAAGATCAATCTCTTGGCCAAAGTATGTGGTAATCTCCCTGAAAACTGTTACAATAGGGAGTTCTTGGGCCAACGTGGTGACCTGGAAACATTGAGGTTGGGCATTACAAGCAACACTTCACATCTTGATGATGCATTGCGGGCTATATCTGACCTGGTGGAATAAACTTGCCTTACTATTTGAAAATATTCTGCTGTTGTATAAAAGTTGAGCTGGAAAAAAACAACAACCGGGCTGACATCATTTTGATTGTATTTTTGTGAGCCACTAGCCTCTTTTAGGCTAGTAAGTCACTAAAAAAACTGGGAATAATAAACTAGGTTTATTATGCGCGTGAGAAACCTATTTAAAGTTTTAAATGAGGTTGTAAAAGAAGCAGTGTGATTAAATCAGCACTGACTTCAGTTAGATGACCTCTCAACAGAGGATTTTTGGATACAAATCCAGGGATTAAGGCAAGACAAGAGTCTTCTGGCCGGATAACAATAGACAAATGGCACCCAGTGTCGTGCCCAAGATAACTACACTCTACTCTAGAGTTGTTAAGCAAGGGAAATATCACCTAGTGATATTTTGAAGTTCTTTAGACTCTGAACACCAAGGGGCTTCCGTGATTTTGAAGTTTCTCAAGTTATTGAATCCCTTTGATAACTTGAGCATTACTTCTAGGATCACCTCCTGACAAAATAGAGAAGTCTTCAAAAGAACTTCTACAAATAACAAAAGCAATGATCAATTTGAGAAATATACAATGTCTAATAAATGAGGACAAGGACTCTATTTATCTGATTGATGAAGTTGTTGATAATTTGCTTAATTTTAATGATGATGATGGATTTTCCTGGCGGGTCAGAGAGACCTTTAAATACTCAAAACCCTGGAAATCCTTCATGTACAACTTGTGGTTTGATTACACACTCATTTGACGTATGTAATCATGAATTTCAATTATTTATTTATTATTTGATCACACACAGGTGTAACTCTTGTTTTACTCATGTGGTACGCACTTGTGAAAGGCATTCTCACTTAGTGCAACCTCTTGGTTACATTTACATGTATGTACATATGTACTTGGCTCTTGAAACTGAGCCATGAGTTGTAGTTATTTTTTTTCTTCTTTTATAGTTCTTTAGACAGCCCTTTGGTACTAGTAATAGGGCTTGGGGCTGACACCCAACACATTGGAAGTTCTCTTCGAAAGCCTTTCAATTGCGGTGACCCACACTACACAAAATATAATATTTTCTGGGCAGAAAATTAAATTATTGATACACAAAAATATTGAGAGGCCAGGAGAAGGGCAAAAAATAAATAAAAATATGCATCTTGTTCCCTGCGGTGAGAGCTTCACTCTCCATATTTTTCCATATTTTTACAGTCTGTATTGATAAGTGTACTAACAATAAACCTTCATAATCATCCAATTACAACCTGTAACAAGCACTGAAATTTGGCTCATTAGTGTTTAGAGAAACTTTTGATTTCTGAAAACACCTATAACTTTGTCAAATCTGCCTCAAAACACTCAATTTTAAGTGCATTAGAAAGCTGAACTCTTCACCTCGAACTTTCATAAGATCAAGAACTATGTAGCTAGTATGACAATCATTCTTTGGATCTGTATGTACAAATGTATAAAAAAGATGATATCTTTTTTAGCAGACCAGCATGCTGTGTGTCCTCTTATGAACTATGTGGAGGACAATTCCAGCTTACCAATGCACCCAAAAACGAGCGTTTTGGACCGGAATTGAAAAAGTTATGAGTATTTTCAGAAATCAAAAGTTTCTCTAAACACTAATGAGCCAAATTTCAGTGCTTGTTACAGGTTGTAATTGGATGATTGTGAAGGTTTATTGTTAGTACACTTATCAATATGGACTGTAAAAATACGGAAAAATATGGAGAGTGAAGCTCTCACCGCAGGGAACAAGATGCATATTTTTATTTATTTTTTGCCCTTCTCCTGGCCTCTCAATATTTTTGTGTATCAATAATTTAATTTTCTGCCCAGAAAATATATATTTCTTGTAGTGCCAAGTCTTATGGGTGACTTGACACAATCAGCAAGGGTCAAATGATGCATTGTGTCACCGGTATCTGCCGGATACCAAACTCTGAAACATATGGTTGGACACCTATGAGCTTGTACGAGGTTTCAACTTGAGTCAAATGAAGTGACTGTCACACCCTGATTCTCTGGAATGAGCAGTCTCCGTGGCATATCCAAACACTGTCACACATTTTTTTGCCCAAGACTCCTTCCTCATTGTGCGAGGCTTCAGGGAATTGCACGGTCAGCTTTAGAGAACAAAGAAATCACTCCAAAAAAAACTACCACACCAAGTCAGCACTCAAGACAAGCACCATGTCGGTATCCTTGTAGCACGTCGACGTGCACACACGGAGAGTTTTGAAAAAAACAGAAAGGTGTTTGGTAGGCTTTAGACTGAGATCGGTGCCGAGCACCCTTTGTGAATGATACAAAAGAATTTGTGGGATCCTTTGTCAGCAGTTGGGGTCAACTGAGTGCCAACGTCCCAGTTGACAAAGGGAAGACATGCCTATTGTGGAGACCTCTTTAATGGGTCTTTCAAGTATGTATTGAAAGTATTTGGTGTGTGCGCGTCGACGTGCTACACGGATACAGACACGGTGAAGATGTTGAAGTCTGATATATTGGTTATGATGATGTACGAGGTTTCAGAAGATCACATGTTTGTAGAGCCAAATGCACATGTATTTGTTTGGCGACAACTTATTCATTGTATGAGCCTCCGGGAGAACAGTGATATGAAGTGAGTTGCCCATTTCCTCATAAGTCACTTGGTTTCGGTAAATTGAAAAGTACCAATGCACCATCCTAGTCATCCAAAGGCACTCAGAACTCTTCCATAGGTCCGGATCTCAAAGCTTCCAACAAAAACCTCTCAACACTTCTCCAGCCACCTTCATCATGTCCATGCCTCTGCGCGCTGTAGTATTAGATGACCATTTACATGTATTCTTAGATGGAATTCCAACAGATGCACTCATGCCTCGAATGACCCTGACTTGGTCAACTTGTAGACATCCTTGCTGCTTTTCATCCTGGCCTTTGCACGGTACCGCCTTGCAACTCTTCAACCTATTGGTCCTACCTTACCTCCGACAGATGGAAGACTTCAATTTCAAAGCCAACACATTTTTATTTTGGGGTGTATCACTTTGAGCTGAAAGAATAGATGCAAGGTAGGTATCTAGCACACTCCACAACATGTCCCAAAACATTGATCAATCGTAATCACTGCAAATAGGACATGTTGACGTCAAAAACCCTCTTGACTTGAAAGGAGATCCCCACCTCGACCCAGTATACAAGTCAATTCCAGATTCAAATTCCTCAAGAGAAGCCGGACCCGGATCTCTCGGCCTTCATGTTTTGTTTTAGCGGTATTAAATTATGTAAATCCAACCTCTTGGGCTATGGCTAATGTGATGACAAAGTGAATACATTGAATCTCTCTGGGCTTTTTATCTTGTCTTTTGCACAGACCTTTAAGTTTGAGTTATTATGAGCACTGGTCTGAAAATTCATAAGTAAGCCTGAACTACCATGGGTATGAACAGAGGAGTAGCCTTTGTCAACTTCCTTCAGCTTCTTCCCCTCAAAAATAGTGGTTGTGTTGATGAACAAGGGTGAGAATTATATTCTCACCTTTTCAAAAATCAGAGTGAACCTAGATCAAGGTTCCAAAAGTGTCTTTCAAAGACACTTTCAAATAGTCAAATCAAGCCCTATGGCATTATTGTTCCCTATACCCAGTCCAAAAGAAATTTGAGATCTGCTCTTCAATTGGACTCCTTTCATGAACACATCTTCAATATCCAACTTCAGATAATTTTGCTTTCATATAAAGTCCATTAGAATGGACTACCAATTGATTTTTCCTTACTTCATTATCCTTACGCTTATCATCCTCCAGTTCTCTCTTCTCATACATCTGCACTGTTTGAGAATCAATATCAATCTGTATCAAGTCTTTCGGAAAACAAATATGTTGAACTCGGTCAATCCCATTCCTACATCTAATTTACTTGAACCCAAAACCCCTTGGTTTCAGCACGAGATAGTCCCCCAGGCCTGCCCTTTGTTTTTGGACTCAATGTCAGATGTAGATCTTGTTGGAGCCCAAAAGAACCAGCTTGAAAAAGTCAAAGGTAGCAGTGTAGTTTACTATTGTATCACGCTTATAACACTTCCTGACCTTTCTATCTCCCAATCACATCAATTATTTGCAACACTGGCTTCCAATTTCAACAAAGACATCAGCATGAAACAGGTTGAAGACAACACAAAGCAAGTTCAAGACCTTGAAACCAGAGGTGAGCTAATTCTTGATACCCTCACTCTGAGAGTTGATCCTGACCCATTGATCAGTTGATTTCATCATGTAGTTGCAAATTTGGAAATCGGTTTTAATTTTCTCAGCCCTGAAGCTTCAAGTTGCACCAAAATCCAGAAGAAACAAGTTTGAGACCTTGAAGCCAGAAGTGAGTCCATCCTTGACAATCTCACTCTGATAGTCAATTTTGACTCTTTCATCAATTTATGAAGTAGTTGCAAACATGGAAGTAAGTTTCAACCTTCTCAACACTCAAGCGGGAATTTGCACCAAAGAAATTATAACCAACAAACTGGCTTTAGATGGACAACTCGCCCAAATAAGATGTCAGTATATCTCCTCTTGGTGGTACTTCCATTTTGTCTGAAGGACTAACCTCCTATACTTCTTTTCAGCATCCCAGATTGAGTGCAATGCATTCATGGCAACCAAAGCATTGCAGGAGAGCTGTGTGCATGCAAATAAGGTCATGAATTTTGAAGTCAAGACGACTGACCTACAACAATGGTTAGATTTGACTCATATGACAGCTCAGGGACACAGGAGAGTACTCCAACAAATTATAGATGCATTGCACTTAGATATCAATATTGCAGAAGAGATCAACATTCACCCTGTGGTTGAAAACAACCCACCACTTCCAGATACTCCTTCCACCGGAAATGATTAAACTGCTGTTGACCCACAAGTCAACATGTCATGTTATATCAATTGTTCACTATGATGTTTCCATCTTCAACATATGTATTTGGCACATCCTGAGTTTACTGTGCCGCCTCAAATACTTAACTCAATCATATTTTCTCTTTGAAACGTGGTTACATTGAACTCATAACAAGAGCAAAAGGTGATCATAAAAAGTGTGTTGACACATGTCTTCATAGATGACATAAACTCTTGGCAGAACCCTCCTTGACACCTGATGCAGAATCAATAACTTGATTGATACCGTTTGTAATGGATGCTTAGGAAGTGTGATCACCCTTAGTACAAAGTGTGACTGCCTTCAAGTGTGAACTTTCAAGAACCCATTAACCCCACTGACTTATGTACAAAATTTAGTGGTTGGTGACTGTGTTTACTTCCCCTTGTGATGAGTGATTCCCTTCCTGCTCACTCTGCTGGAATCTTCATCAGCTACTTCATCTACATCTTCCTATTTTCTTTTCCACTATTTGTCTCTTCTCATATGGACTGTAGGTTGTCAATCATTTGTACCATCATGGTTGATACAGGGTATGTTTCATTTCTCATCTATCCAGCTTGAAACCACTCATTCCAGTCTTTGCTGATGTGTAGCCCTTGTCTCTTGATCAGCCATTGACTGCTGCCAAAACCGCTGGCTGTGAAAGAGCCAGCAGATGCACACAATATGTTTTGCAACAGGGGCCAGGCTTCAGGAGACTTTTCACAGCTGAGTTCAAACAAATCTTTTGATGCCGCGCATCAACAGAATCTTATCACTGGTTAGTTGTCTTACTTGAGTCCTATTACCCCTTTTACCAACACTCTTTTTCTAATCTTTGTCTATAAAATATGTATCAACAGCTGGTCTCACTTTGGTCGCCAAAACTCCCACGCTGAAGGAGTGTCATAATAACCTGACTGATACCAAACAGCCAGACTTGGAAGATGAACCATTTGAGATGGCCCCGGAGATCTGGGATTTTTTGCTTGACAAACAACAGCAATATCTTGATCAATGGCTTACTTGTCACTCAACCTGTGACCTTAACCACTCTTAGAACTGTGAATATGACCTCACCGACTCTTACCACTGTAAAGATCACATCTACCACTCTTAGAACTGTAATGTGGGCTGGGCATAGCCTGAACTACACGTTCTGTTAGTATATGTGTGACTCGTATGGTCCTCATTGTCCATAATGTAAGGATGTAGACAAGTATGGCTTTAGACAGGATGGATACGGATTACTTTAACTTAGCCCTGGCTCCACGTTGGGTTCTCTTCTCTTCACGAACCCCGACTGGAGCTAGGTAAGAGTTATCATCTCATTATCGCATTTCACTTTAGATTGTTCTGATCATGTTTCTGTTCTCTTCACAAACCCCGACTGGAGATAGCTGGACCATTGTAATGCACACACCGGTTCTAGATTAGTTTCAGTGGTTAAGAACCACCGTGAGAGTTCCCTGAGAGCATAGTGAAGGTTTCTTATTCAGAACCTTACACTTTTTTAATCTAGTCCCAAAGCTTATTTTTCCTTCTTGAAAATCCTTGACTTCGAACCGAAAATCTGACAACTTCAACTGCCCCCAAACTGCTGATCACATGGCATTCAATCTACCTAGTAATTTCTGCACCAATCCCGACGTTATCCTACAAAAATTTTGATCTTCTGAACCTGGTGAATCACCGCCTGCACCTCCTCCACCGCGTTACAATTGGATCACAGAAGGAGAAGAGACTGAGACTCCTGAAAAACCAATACAAACGATTTACCCGTCATCCTCTCATACCTTAGTTTCATCTTTGCAACCAGAACCAACTCTTACTCCAGACGCTTGTATAGTTTGAGAATTTTTTCATTGTGCTAATTTAAAGACACCGCTAGTCCCTGGTCAAAGCTTTGTCCACACTCCAATGCAGCAAGCGCCAGCCAAATCCTCGCGACGCGCCGGCGAGATTCCGGCCACGGACGTGATGTCTCATGATCAGATCATCATGACTCTGCAAGCTAAAGTCGAAAAGTTAGAACAGGAGAAATCGGAGTGGGAGACAAAGGCTCAACTGGCTATCGCTGACCGTGATCCAATCGAGGCACTTGAACAAACCATTGCGCAATTAGTGACGGAACGGTCACCCAACACAGCCCAAAGCGCAGGTTCGAATAATCCCTTTGCATCGTACCGAAACAGTGCCACGACACCAACACCAGCCGGTCCTTGTGGCCAACGACTTGTGGATACAAGTATTGCTCAAGAGCTAGTGGAATCAAGTCCTGTCATGGCCGACCAAAGCTCACCAAGGCCAGTATTACAACCACCCACATTGTCGATCGGTCAGGCCTTTACACAACCTGTAGAAGGCAATCAAGAAGAAACTCAAAGAGTCTCATTCAGCACCTTTGTCAATCCGCTCTTGAACCCCCGAAACCGGCCTATGGCGACTGTTCATGAACCACCTAGAGACGAGAACATACCGAAAAGCCCAATTGCACTTGAAGAACGCGCCAGTAATCAACCCCGATTAAGCAAAGTATAAGCAAGTGATTTGAAGGTATCGGAAGTACCAAGGTTCAGTGGACCATCCGAAAACCCGGAGGCCTTGTTCAATTGGCGACACTTGATAGAACAGTACTTTGAATTAAAAAACTTATTGGACCATCATCAGCGATTCATCATTCTGGGCTCCGTTATGATTGAACCACGAGCAGGAGCCTGGTACGTTAATTCACGGGCAGATTTAGAGTGCATGACTTGGGAGGAAATAATGCATGAGTTGGCATCAGAGACCTTACCTACGGGATGGCTAGAAGACACAGAACGAAGCATCAGACAATTACGGATGGGAATCAATGAGGACTTTAAAACTTACGTTGGAAGAGCTAGAGATTTATACAACTTAGTTCAGATCAAATCATCACTCACCGCTAGAAACCTGGTCAAATATATCGTTTGGGGGACACCGGACATCTTTCAACGCTGGATTAAAGATTGACAATTGCTACAAGTGCAAGACTTCAAATTATTACCTTTCATCTCGGCGGCAAACAACGTATGGGATCTAGTGGTGGCAAGTAATTTGATGCCTCGAGTTCAATCACGCCAACCAGTGCATCATCAGACCAGTAACTACACCGCGACGCAACAAATCACTCCTAGTAATCCAGCACCAGACGCTCAAACGTCAGAGCAACGCGCTGACCAGGTGTGGCGTTACTTCTCGTATATGAGACACTTAGGTCTATGTGGCATCTGTCGAACTGCTTGTGGGAAGTCAGACTGTAAGGGACCTGTAAAGGGACCTTACGTTGCGTTACCCAGTCTAGAAGTCTTTAACCCGGGTCCTAGACCTAATCGTCGTCAAGAAACAAGTGGCAACGTGAACACACGACCTTCACATGCAACTCAACAAGCCAGCCAACCGGGAGCACCTACCAGTAAACCCCCGGGTCGACCATCCAACCAAGCACCACTGGTGGCCAGCATTGCTGAGAAACCACTTGTTCGCCAAGGATCTCGCTCGTTATGAAGAAGCGGATCGAGTACTAGTTGCTCATTTGGCAAACAATAAGGAGGATGGAAGGTGCGTCGATGCCCTTGAGCCCAATACCAAGTCTATCATTTTGAATTTGAAAATCAATGGTGTTGACGTTTGTGCTTGTATTGACTGTGCAGCGGAAACGAATCTGATGGCGGATCAACTATCAAAGCAAGCAAAAATTCCGCGTCGACCTCTAATCTCACCAGTTGAAGTTCGTTTGGCAATTGATGATAAGGAGGCAACCATTTTTCTTCAAAGATTTTGCTTTGCAAATGTTGCATCAACTGAACCCGCACTCCGGTTTGGATCAACTTTTTTCAAGATTGCACCGTTAGGAAACAACTTTGATGTTATTCTTGGAACCCCCTTCTTAGAGAAATACCACCTAGATGTATCCTTGCATGAACGTACTGTAAAGCATGTACCTAGCAAGACTACACTTAGAGAAGCGGGCACGGAGATTGAACTGAAGGAACATATGACCAAATCAATGATCGCGTGTGTAATTCAGAACTTGACTCAGGTTCAAGATTCGCAAGAGTTGTCAGCTCGAGAGGAGAAAGTTTTGAGGTAATTTGCTGATTTGTTTCCAGAGGAGCTACCACCTGTAGCCTCTGATGAGGAGGACGATTTTTTCCCTCCGGAAGGTCAAAATGAGTCATCAAAGGTTTGGCATAAGATAATATTGACAGACCCTAATGTTGTCATCAACGAGAAGCAGTACGCGTACCCTCAAAAGTATTGGGGAGCGTGGCGGAAACTCATTGATCAACATTTAGCAGCCGGCCGTATCAGAAAGTCCAAAAGTCAATATGCTTCACCTTTGATGATAATTCCAAAGAAAGATACCTCTGCATTACCACGCTGGGTTTGTGACTATGGAACACTGAACACATTCACAGTGAAAGACCACTCACCACTACCAAACATTGATGAAGCGGTCAGGATAGTTGGAAAAGGGAAAATCTTTTCAGTTATAGATCAAATCAATTCCTTTTTTCAGACAAAAATGAGAGAAGAAGATGTTCCTTTGACAGCAGTCAAGACTCCCTTTGGACTTTATGAATGGATGGTCATGCCAATGGGTTTGACAAATGGACCGGCAACCCATCAAGCACGCGTGGAAGAGGCATTAGGAGATTTAACTGGTGAGATTTGTGTGGTTTACATTGATGATGTGGTGGTATTTTCAGATTCAGTTGAGGAGCACGAGTTACATGTGAGGGAAATTCTTTGAAGACTGCAAGCCGCAAAATTGTATTGTTCACCATCAAAAAGTAAATTATTTTGTCGCAAGATCAACTTCTTGGGATATGAAATCAGTGCAGGTGGTATTTGCCCAGACGAGCAAAAGGTGGAGAAAGTTACCAAGTGGAAGACACCAGTTTCTCAAAAGCAATTGCTGCGCTTTCTAGGAACAGTACAATTTATGAAGAAATTTGTAGATGGACTGGCACACTACGTTGGAACCTTATTGCCATTGACGAGTACAAAGCGGAAGAGTGAACCCTTTACGCGGGGTGAAGCGGAAGACAAGGCATTTGAGAACATCAAACAAATTATGACAACTTTGACGGTTTTGAAGACGTTGGATTACGAGTCGGAAGACCCAGTCTGGTTGTTCACAGATGCAAGTGGACATGGACTGGGCGCAGCTTTGTTTCAAGGAGCAGAGTGGGACAAATCATCCCCAATTGCTTATGAAAGTAGGACAATGACCCCCGCGGAACGCAACTACCCAGTTCATGAACAAGAACTCTTAGCTGTCATCAATGCACTTCAAAAATGAAAACTACTGCTTCTTGGGTTGAAAATCAATGTTATGTCGGATCATCACTCACTCACTCACTTAATGACACAACACAACCTGAGCCGTCGACAAACGCGATGGCTAGAGACTCTTTCACAATTTGATCTTAATTTCAAGTATCTTAAGGGAGAAGACAACACCGTTGCAGATGCGCTTTCTTGTATTGAGGAGGTGGCCTTGTGTGAGGTCAGACCAACTTTCGACACCGAAACATTAGACATGATTAAAGCGGGGTACGAATTTGATCAGTTCTGTGTACGATTACGTTCAACCCTTCCACTACGACCAGGTACTGAAGTAAAGGAAGGCCTGATTTTTTTGGACAACCGTCTAGTTATTCCAGACACCAACGGGTTGAGGCAAAGGTTGATTGAACAAGTTCATACGTCGTTAGGACATCTCGGTAGTTTGAAAACTCTTCTACAACTCAGGATTGAGTTCTTCTGGCCTAACCTAACTAATGACGTCAAGAACTTTGTAGCACACTGTGATACCTGTCAAAGGACTAAGGCACGAACAACGCTCACCTCAGGCAGGATGCAAACGAACGATGTACCACAGGTACCAATGGAACATATTGCTCTGGACTCCATTGGTCCTTTCCCGAAAGTCAGAAACTACAATATGTTGCTTTCAGTGACTTGCAGACTATTGGGTTTTGTTTGAACCATCCCGGCGTGCCAGACAGATACGGCTGAACGAACGGCGCAAAGATTTTTCACAGCTTGGCTCGCTATCTTTGGAGCACCACAGACTATGATCGGTGACCGGGACAAGCTGTGGACTTCGACGTTTTGGCAAGAACTGCACAAGCTGTTACATATAGATGTTCATTTGACTACGGTGTATCATCCTCAAAGTGATGGCCGCAGCAAGAAATGTAACAAGACTATAGTTCAAATCCTCCGACAGTTGCTCTTGTCAAGGCACGGTAAGTGGCTAGAGTCTCTGCCTTCCGTTGAGTTTGCCATCAACACGGCGGTCACCGTAGCGACAGGCATTTCACCGTTTGAATTCGTCTATGGTAGAAAACCACGTCTTTTCCTGATCAATGCACCAGTCACGACTTCCAATTTGAACGCCTCTTCATGGATCAGCAAGCGTCAAGCCTTGTGGGCAGAGGCACAAGATAGCCTGTGGACCAATCGAATCTCCCAAGCGGTTCATTACAATAACCAACGAAGAGAAGGTGAGACATTGACAGTAGATGATTGGGTCCTTGTGGATAGCAAAGACAGACAGCAAGTCATAGGTGTGCCAGGAAGACCAAAGGCAAAGCTACGGCCACGTTATGATGGACCCTATCAAGTCATTGAATGCTTTAATGATGGACGGAACTTCAAGCTGAAGCTCAACAGCGACAACAATTCACACCCCGTATTTCACATTTTGAAACTCAAGAAATACAAAGGAGATGGTGGAATGGAAGAGCAGGAAGGGACACGCGAGTGACCTAGGTGTCAAAGTAAGTCCCACCTTAATTAGTATGCACCGCCGAAGGCTACCCCCCAAAATTTTTCAAAAACGACTCCTTGGCCACGCCCGTGAGCACCACACGATGTTTGTTCTCCTTTCAAATTTCCAGATACAAACGCGGCACCAAGGAAGTGAAGGTTGAAAGACACAAATTACCTCAAGAAAAATTAAATTACCTCAAGACCAATTTAAATGACCTCAAGATCAAATTTCACAACACTTCAAGACAATTTCATCATCAAGTTTCAATTTTTTTTCTTTTTCAAATTTTGTCTTTTTTTCTTATTTTCAAACATTATGAATTTTTTAGGGGCGAGTTATGCCATTTTTTTTTCTTTTTTCTCTAATTTTTTATTGAAGATGTTAGGACCTTTTTTTTAGGTGGGGAGGGATGTAAGGATGTAGACAAGTATGGCTTTAGACAGGATGGATACGGATTACTTTCACTTAGCCCTGGCTCCACGTTGGGTTCTCTTCTCTTCACGAACCCCGACTGGAGCTAGGTAAGAGTTATCATCTCATTATCACATTTCACTTTAGATTGTTCTGATCATGTTTCTGTTCTCTTCACGAACCCCGACTGGAGCTAGCTGGACCATTGTAATGCTCACACCGGTTCTAGATTAGTTTCAGTGGTTAAGAACCACCGTGAGAGTTCCCTGAGAGCATAGTGAAGGTTTCTTATTCAGAACCTTACACATAAGAGACTGAAATATTGGAGCTTGTCTCCTCCTGTCAAATGACTGGAAATCCATTTGAGTATTTACCTATTACAAGCGCATGCAAATACATATGTGTACCTTTCAAGTTCCTCTTTGGGCTCAGTCCTAAAGGCACTCATGGGAATGTGAGCATCACATTTGCGCTGTGTGCTGAACTGCAATTTGTGGCATTTCCTTGAAGTTCAAGGACTCAGTTTCTCTGTCCTGGACTCAGCTTTTTGCTATGTAAGTATGTCGCCATTGATGAAAGGTTTTGTTTCTGCCGCCTCAATCTTGACCATAACTCAGTTTTGAAGCAGGCTGCTTTGCCGTGTGCTCAGCTTTTTGCTGAGTCTGTCTGCTGGAGGTGAACTTTTTTTGTCTATACCTTTCTGCCTTCTCAACCTAGTCTATCACTCAGTACTGAACGCGGTTGAGGCTTTGGTGTTGGGTGTCAAGTCGCACAGGCCAGCTAAAACTTGAATCAACCTATAATTAGAGAGCAAAGATGAGCTTGATCAGAGGCCTCCAATGCACCACATAGTCTACTAACCTTCTCATCAATTTGCCACCGTAACCAACCGGTTCAACACTTCACCTTTTACTGATCCCCTTCATACCACCAATCTCACCATGACCACGCCAGGCCAAATTGTACCTTCAGATATCCAACAACACAAATATTATGAGAAAGGTCAGATGGTCCCCAACACAATCAAGTATTTGCTCAAGCCCAATGTAGATTATGACGCAAGAGGTACTAAAAAAGAAGACCTTTGAGATATGATGAAGCATTCCAGAATTGACCAAGCAAAATACCCTGCTCGCTGGAAGAAAGACAGGCTCCTCAAAAGTTACAAGGACGAAGTACTTCCCGGCCTTAGGGCCACATGGGTAAGTCTTCTTGGTCTCGGTGTATCCAAGCAAATGTCTTGCAAAAGTAGCCAGTTATTGGCTTATTGCTTTGGTTGAGTCTGGAATGGAGTTGCAAACCAAAGCTTTCAGGGATTTCACGGCTCCGCCTTTCCTACAGTGGTGAGATACTATGTTTTTCGAAGTGAACATCAGGATCACTGAAACTCTAAACATTTTAAACATCTGGACAACCCCATGATCAGTGAGTTCAACCCTGACACGTAAGTTGCAAGGTGTTGGGTGATATGACAAGTTGGAACAATGATGATTTGTCAAAATAAAACAAGCTCAATATATACTCAAACGTTGGTTCCAAGCGAGCCTTGTGGACTTTGAACTCTCAATCACAAACTCTTAATGTTTGTATACAATGGCAGGAGAGAAACCCAAGGGTTGATTGACCCTGGACAATGAAGGTTGTGTTGATCATTTCTGAAAAGATCGAACCGCCAATCTGGGAACCTCTGGGTGCTGATTTTATCCCTCAAAGGGGTGTTTATACTTGTACAGCATGCGCCGAGTCCAGAAATCAATCAAAATACAATCACTTTTTGTTCAGACCTCTCTGTGTGAGCATGTTGATGTGCTACACAAATACAGACATGGTGACATTAGGCTCAAGGAATGTAACCCCAATCCCAACTGGGCCTTGTGAAAGGGGAACATTGGCTCCCATACAGAGAATTGTGCATCTCTTGTGCCATGGTTTTGTTGTTGGAACCAGAGTTGGTTGTCTGAGAAAGGAAGTGCATGCGGAAGACACGGTCAGTGTGCAAGTACAATAAGAATGAACCAAATAAAATCAAGTACATAGATGAGAGTACTTATCTTATCTACTAAACCGTGTTTAACAAATATGTTGACAATTGGTTTGGCCAGCCATTTGCCCTTGTGCTCCCACACAACAAGCTTGAGGGTCAGATGGGGACCTAAAAATTGCCACCGATTGTTGATGTACGTCACCCCGGCACCAATGAAGGTGTGTTGGTTCCCCTTTGTGGTTGGTCCACATGTCTTGTTGGAGGCTGATCTAACTGGTCAGGCCCTATGTGTGAAGGTATCAACATAGCGGTCAGATAATGGAGAAGACTAAGAATGAACTTTGGACCATACCTTGAGTTCCTCAAAAACTACCTTCTTCATTGACAGATTCTAACATTTGGCTTCATTGACAGATTCTAACATTTGGCTTCATTTGCAGCTCATTTTTGACCATACAATCAAACTTTGGGTCAAAGGTAAGCTACAGCCATTTGGAGCCATGGGTCGGTCATTTGATTCCAGGGTAGAGCATGTGAGCTCAACCACAAGCACATCATCTGATTAAAGATCAGATTGTCAAACTTTGATTTCAAGCCTACAACTGCAAATGAGGAAATTGATCCTGGGTTGTTTTTGTTGGTGGATTGGGATTCTTTGGCCTTGGCAACCAAAAGTGGAACTCAAAGCCCTGCTGCTTTAGCTTGGTTACAACCGGGACATCCTACCTTAGAGCGACCATTAGTGGTATATCCATTGCAATGAGTCTTCAAATTGGATGTGTAGTTGGTTTGGCTGACTCAAACAACTACTGGTTTTTTGGGATTTGTAGTGCACCATGAGCATGGATATGACAAGCAAGGCAATGTGACATCCTACATTGATTGATATAAAAAGGGGTAGGATTTCTTTCTGGCCGAATGACTTTGAAAAGTTGAGAACCAAACTCACATCCCCTTTTTTGTGGAACGGTTCTCCAAAGTACTTGATGAGTGATTTGTGCTCATCCTGTTCCAACAGAGTTCGCTGACCTTGAATTTTGACTTTTGCATTTTCTTTGTCCAAATTGGCGACAAGAGTTGCACAAATGACCAACGACAAGCTGGTTGGGAGTATCTATTATGTTATCCAAATCAAGAAAAACAAAACAATGTTATTCATATAAGGACTAACAGTACAAGATTTGAGATTCAATGAAAGGATGAAGAGACATATGTCTTTGCCTGTGAATGTGCTGCTACTTGAATGGGCCTTCTTGTTCTTTTTGTTCTTGTGAACTGACTTTCCCTTCTTCTTTGACATTCTTAAATATTCATCTTTGGTTGGATGTGGTTCATTTGATTTGGATTTGTCTTCATCAGCCAATTCAATCACTGTGACAGAGGATGCCCGCTTACGCTTCAAAGGCCCGGGGCTGGGTTGAACTGACACATCAGAAAGTCGCCTTTGAGAATCGTGGCTTGGTGTAAACATGCTGGGATTGGAGGGGGGTTGTTGCGGACGTTGAGGCCGACCAACTGAAGACATCTGGTTGAAAGGTGAGGCAGTGGATTTCCAAGATTGTGATGGCATCTTGATAATGGATAGAGGTACTTTGATCTTGAATAAAAGGAAGTCTACAAATTGGATAGAGCTTGTATTTGTAGAAGTGTGTCAAATGGAGATTGGGATTGGGTGATCAAAAGTGATAACTATCAGAAGAAACTTATTATTATTATTAGTCAATGGAGGATAAAGATTTATTATTTGAAAACAATATATTATTGAATTGAGGTTGAGAAGAAAAGAAAAGTTGAACACATGAAGTGGTGTGAGGAATTAGGGAATGGATTGGAGAGCTGGATCGGCTTCAATGTGAGAGCCTGAACCCCCTTTTGAGAGTGAAAGGGGGTCCTTTCAATTCATCTTGAAACTGATTAGGGTGGTTGAGTCGGTATGATTGGCCAATGTGGGTGTCAGAGTTGTCATCTTGGGAGGGATATTGAGATTGGGGTGAAGTCAAGGGGAGAGGGGTTGGATTGTGTTGGTGTGGATTCTCAAAGGTCTATCTCCTTTATAAGGTGTGGGCTTGCATGTTACCCGCTGACCTGCTTTGGAGTGGGTGAGCGGGTTGGAGCGCAGTTTCATAAAATGAAAGACTTCTGCAATTATGACAATGTCCCTTGGGGTTATTCCAGCACCACCACCAGAAAACAACTAAAAGCTTTCTAACCCACCCCAATATGACAATGAAACATCCCTGAATGAATTGATTATATTGGAAGTGCTGTGTTTCCCACTACAGAGTTCACAACCAGTGATACAGCAGGTTCACTAGAAAAAGGAAAATTATGACTAGATTTTTTGGTTGATCAGATATAGGTTCCACAGCAGGATGACAAGATTTGATGAGCTAACTTGTGAGCAAGTTAAACAGAAGTAAAACTACTTTACTGGAGGAAAGCTACAGGGTCATGTTCAGGCGCTTGAGCTCCACATGATCCAGATACACACCCTTCGATCTCTGGGAGGTCGGATTCCCTAACTGATGTTGGCTACTAGGAGATGATTCTAGTGATTTGCCACTGGTGACTGCCACCTGGTGGCAGCATCTTCATTCATAATCTTGTAAGGATTAGGTGTAGATATGTCAAAATACTTCTGGCTTTTCTAGATGGTCAAGAAAACCAAACATCAAGTGAGAATTTGCTCAACCCAACCAAATCAGGACTGGTGGTAGTGATTACTCCACTTTTGTGGTTGGTAACTGTTTATGTGTTTACAATGTATTTTTACATATATTCTAAGGTCAATTATGCAGACACACAGCTAAACAGTATGCGCACAACAAAGAATAAAGTCAAGCTAGAATTGCATACTGAATCCTACCGGAATTGACTATTCTTCCTGATCACTTATTGATATTGATGAACTTGACTAAATAAAAGGAACCAGATGTTGGAAGAGTAGTTCAGAGACATAAACCTTCACCTTTTAATTGGAAGAAGAGCTTTGTGGAAGAACTGACGGCTGGGAAACTGATGTGACCATCAATGATGATCACATCCATAGGGAATATGTCATAAATGCACCCCGCTGCAAAGTTCAGGCTCCTCACCACCCAATATGAAATCATTGTAGAGAGCCACTAGCATTGGCCAACTGACTGCTACATTGATTTGTTGTAAATATTTTTGGATGGCATCCCAATCCTTCCTTGAAATATCTTCCAACGGAAGTCTGCGTGGTTGTCAGAGATCACTTCGTGTTGTGAAGTTTTCTGGGCTTGAGGATGCTTTACCTTTTAAATGTGATTGAAGCTTGACTAGCGCACTTTTGTTGAATCCGTGAGAGATAGTTTGTTTACACTTCTTTTGAGGCCCTTGCGGAGCTCCTCAACCTTTCAATTCAACTTTGGTAGACGGTGGCGAGTTCCTAGATTTTCAGTTGATGATGTAGGTGTACTTTCACAGGGACCGGCGGCAGTGTTGGCACCTGATGGAGACGTGATATTGGAAGACTCAGTCATCACAACATTGCATTCCGAGATTTTTTGGGCAAGGGTGAAGTTCCAGCAAGAATCATGGTAGAATGCAAGTCAAGACCAATGGATACAAAGAAATGATTGACCATAGGTGCAGCATTGGTGCGTTAATAATTGACCACCTCATGCTTTTTTACCTTTTTTGCAAAATGTGAGTGATCAACCTCCAAAACATCCATTGACTCTTAAAGCTTTCCCATACTACGTGTGATTTTTGTGTAACCTATGTCCTTATCCAATGCTATGAGAAAACGTAGACGTGTACATGACATTTTCTCCTTGATTTTGATCCATAATGGATAGTCGGAGGTGCCAAATGCTTGATTACCAGCCATGTTGGATCTTATCAGCTATGGTATAGGTTTGGAATGATATGAGCTGAATTCGAGATGATTGGTGTGGATTTTATGGCTAACAGTTTGATGGATGATAAGATTGAGTTTATAAATTCTGACAGGAAAAATTTGGAGTCAGCTATTCATCATAGAAAGGGTCATCTTGCAATTTACGGATGAAATTTACTTACACAAAGACTTCAAGGTAGCCTCAGAATTTGAGGACACAGCAGAGTTGGTGGAACTACACAGTTGAGTGAAAACTCAGCACGGTGAATTCTTCCTATGATGAGCAAGTCATGTACAACAAAAGGAACCTCGGATCCAACTTCCCTGACTTGTTTGACCACCTTGATGAGCACACAGACAATATCATTCTTTATCATTTTAGGTCAATTGAGACTTGCCTTTTGTAGTGAAAGGAAGATTTGATTGCAAAAGCTCAATGTAGCATTTGATTTCAACTCTCTTCAAAGTGTAGTCAAAATCCAGTGTGGGTATCTCAGATAAAAACAACATATTATCTTTTTGAAGATGTAAAGCCAAATTAAGAACGATGAAAAAGTCTCCAGTAAGCTTTCTCATTGAATAAATTGACTATAAAGATATCCACATCTCCCATATCAAATGCGGCTCGCCCAGGTGGTAGCCAATCAGTCAACTGCTTTTGGAATCCATTGATATCCAATGGAGTCTGAGGGTTCAATGGATATTTATGAGTTGAGTTATAAAAACAGTCATGGCTGAGGCTTCATGATCTGTGACAACCAATGACGGATCAAGATACATATTAAGACAGCAGATGAATGTGCCAGTTTATTCCAAGAAAGCTCAATCTTGACTCTGGACATGAATCACATACAACTGACAAGCCTTGAGTGGAACATATATCAACATTTGAAATCTATTTCAACCCTTTTTCTGCAAGAGAATCACACTTCTGTAAACTTCTCCATGCACAAGCACCTTCAATCCTATTGGATCCTAACCGTGCTTCAGGATATTCCATATCAGCCACAGCTAAACCTCCTAAAGTCAAAACCAATAATAAATCAATTGATCATTATATACTAGATAGCAATCAATTTCACCAAGCAAAACAGATGTTGCATGTGTTGGTTGTGAGCACTAGCCGAGATATTCATCTGAACTATCCTTACAATATCCTTGGCTTTCAAAATCTGAGCATGTTCATTTCTCAGTCTTGGAGGATCGTCTTAATTATTTGCTGTAATCAAATGATCTCATGGCTTGCAAGAATTGAAACTGTTAGAGTCACATGAGAAAGAACACCAAAAGACTCCCAAGTAGATAGACGATTTTCATTTAAGGCTATGTGACTATCTTTATCTTAAGCAAGGCACAATGGAAAACCAAGTTGACTTTGAGAGTAGATCTATGGCTACTTACCTTTGATGATGTGCCACCTAGCCCAGAAGAGGCTTAGCCAAGTTGCGTTATGTAAATCAATTGAATATCATTGATAAAAAATAAGATAGATCTTTTTTTGAAGTTATCCATTGTAATTGCAAGAGATTACTATTCAACAAGAGAGATTGAGATAATAATTCATAGTTTCTTAGCTTTTGTTTTTTATGATGACCATTCTCCTCTCACCGAGTAGAGAGCCAACCTTCCAATGAGTATGAGGTACCTTATTACTCATTTCGGACCTCTTATCCTTGTCTCCTGCTCATAAGACTTAATCTTTGCTTGAACAAACACTAACCAATCCTCTTCCTTCATGTCCTCCTTCTCTTTTTCTAACATTGCTATCTTTTTCCCCACCAATTCAGAAATCTGGCAGGAAGAGCCAAATCACATAAGTGTGTTATTGACATGTCTCATTTTCTCACATTTTGCATTAAATGCCTTTGAAGAGGTAGATTGGTGTTTTACCTGTGTAGTTCAGAAAACAAATCAGCTATACTTGATAACTAGAGCTCAGGCAAGGTGCAAAATTGATAAGTAGAAAGTGGAGCCTTATGGTCCAAATAGCTGGAGGCTCAAGTCAGGATCAGAAAAACCAAGGCATAAGATAGGAAACACAATAGGCAGATATGCACGATGCTCAACTCATCAAATTATTGTGTGTCAAGCCAGAGACTGTGCAACAACTATTAAATGTTCAATACAAATCAAATCATATTTAAAGGTGTTGTGACATTATACTCAATTCACACTGAGATGGGGTTTCCAAAATTATGTTTAAGGACTTGTGCAGCATAAAGTATAGAAGTTTCAAAACACCTCAGTCTCTTTTTTATTTTCAAACAATTTCTAATCTTTTCTAAATCTTCCGAGTTTGGTAAGTATGAGTTATTATCTTGAATTCAATTAGGTTCGTGTTCTAGTGAACCTGAATCAATAAATTCTTGTGGTGGGTTTTTGTTTCAGGTACATCTGTTGTTAAAAATATATTCAATGAGCCAACATTAACGTTTGAAAAAAGTCAATCATCTGCATTGATGACTTTTGAATGCCTATAAAGTTTGAAAACAATTTTGAGAATGATCCACTACAAGAAACATAACATTTTCTGGGCAGAAAATTTAATTATTTGTATACAAAAATCTGGAAAGGTCAGAAACAGAGCAAAAAATATCAAAAAATATGCATCCTGTTCCTTGGTTTGAGATCTCCAATCTGCATATTTTTCCCTATTTTTAGGGTTCATATTGGTGAGTGTACTAGCAATAAACCCTCATAATTAT